GCCAGCATTTGCTGTTCTTAGTCTTTTCGATGCTGGCCATCCTTACTGGTGTGAGGTGATATCTCACTGTGGTTTTAATTTGCATTTCTCTGATGATTAGTGATGTGGAGCATCTTTTCATGTGTCTCTTGGCCATCTGAATTTCTTTGGAGAATTGTCTGTTCATATCCCCCACCCATTTTTAAATTGGATTATTTGCTTTTTGGGTGTTGAGGCATTTGAGTTCTTTATATATTTTGGATGTTAACCCCTTGTCGGATATGTTGTTTACAAAGATACTCTCCCATACCGTAGGATGCCTTTTTGTTCTGCTGATGGTGTCCTTTGTTGTACAGAAGTTTTTTAGCTTGATGTAGTCCGTTTGTTCATTTTTGGCAAGTTATTTCTTAAAGGGCCAGATGGTAAATATTTTAGACTTGTGGGTCATATGGTCTCTGTCACAACTACTCAGCTCTGCCATTGTAGCATGAAGGTAGTTTTAGGGGCAATATATAAATGAATGGGCACAGCCATGTTATAATAAAACTTTATTTATAAAAGCAGGCGGCTGGCCCCAGGGCTGTAGTTTGCTGACCCCTGTGCTGTACACCACGATTTAGCCATTCTGTTGATGGACATTTGGGCTGTTTCCAGTTGTTTGCTTTGGTAACAGAAACAATGCTGCTCTGAGGAATAAAAAGTATTTAGAAAAATCTGAATAAGTGTAAAAATCTGAAGAGCATTTAAAAATTGGGAAATAAGCCAGAAATCTGTGTGTGTCTTGATTTGTGTATCCCAACTTTTAAATATAGACAACTTAATCAAACAAGCACTGGGTGAAACAAACCAAATGTAGTCCAAGACTAATCTGCCATCACAAATACCTTCTTGCCCTCAAAGACCTTAGGAAACTGGCTCCCTTGCATAAAAAGGGGGGCTTCCCTTTGGACCTTGTGTTCCTTTGTCCATCTGAGCACCCCTGGGGAAATGCTGATGACACACACCTGACCTTCCATCCCTGGAGTGCTCTGGGTGGGCACCCAAATGTTTGTGGAATGGATGAATAATTCTGAAAAAGCCTTTGGTATTTAAATATGACTGTGCTGACCTTCTAATGCCAGCAGTGAACTCTTTCAGCCATCAAACTTGAAGCGCACTGGCGTGGAGCCCTGGCTCGCATGGAGGCCAAAAGGAGAAAGTGGGCCGTGCAGATTATAAGGAGGTAAATTCTAGGGTACAGCATGGAGGAGAAGTCCCGAAACGCTGGTGGGCTGCAGAGCGTGGTCCCGGACGCCATGCCGAGCATTGGTTGAGGTTTTTGGCTTTGTGCAGAAAGGTGATCTTCCTTTCAGGATGTCAGCTCAGGAATTCAGTTCCATGTCTTTTCTCTGAGCTGCCTAGTTTGATGGTGATCACAACTCAGTATGTTTTATAGTTTCTCTTAGCCTAGTTCAAAAGTCACAAAGTCAGAAGCCTTCTGATGCCAGCCATGTCTTGCGCCATGAGCTGGGATAAGACAGTAAGGTATGGTGGGGACTGTGGCGAACCGGAAAGCTCAGTGCACCTGAGGGGCAGTCACTGCTTCCTTTTAGCTGACCGCTGCCATGGAGAAATGCCAGGCGAGTGTTGCTGCATCTTTTGATTTTTTTTTTTTTCCTCCCAAAGACAGCTGGAAAGGAAGAGTTTCATGTAATTTCTCTCCATTTGTTCTTGTGGGCAACTAAACAAAGCAAAACCGAAAGTAGTGTGGGTGAAGTAGAACCTATCTTTGGGGGCAGATCTGGCCTGTGGGCTACAGTTACTATATAGCCCTACATGGCGATCAAAGGAATTTCTATTATTTTGGCCTCCTCTGAATCCAGCAAATGGGGAGAAAATGCAAGTTGCAGTGAAGAAATGGGCCAGAAAACTAACAAAACACTTTCCTGTTCAGGTTCATTAAGGGATTCATCAATCGCAACAAGCCCCTTTGTCCTGACAATGAGGAGTTTATCATGTTGGTGCGCAGGAATTACATCTTGAACCTTCGGTATCATGTCCCCAAGAATGTCTTGGACAAGAGCTGGCTGAGGCCTCCTGGCTTGTTGGAAAATGTAAGGACTGAACTCCTGTTGCAAGTGGCTCAGGCCCTGATGGAGCTTAACTTCTGTATGCCTTTGTTGTGCCTCCCTTGGCGTGAAAGGGCTGCCTTAGCGAAGCATTTCCTTGTACGCATGCTGCACAGGAAATCTCATGCCTCTGGATTTTAATATCCTCACTAGAATTATGAAGCCAACAGAGGTCTTTTACACAGAGCACTTCTGAATGGTTTCTATCCTTAATGGAGCCTTCCACATGGGTTTAGTGACTGCCACCTAGAACAGTGTTTCTCAAAATATGTTCTGAGGACATCCCTGAGTCTGGAGCACAAACCGGGGCAACTGTAAGATTCCTGGGCCCCAATATGGATCCACTGAGGCAGCACCTCTAGGAGTCTTGTTTTAGCCAGGTCCTTAGGTTGCTCAGAACACATTCAGGTTTAAGAACCACTATTTAGCAATAGTGATGTTAGTGTAAGATTTTCTGTTTTCTTTGACTATTGAATAGTAACACCGTACTTCAAACCAAACTGAATTCAACTGAGCTCTTTAAGCTTCTGTTTTGGTAGCCAGAGGCCAAGACGGTGGGAGGGAATGAGTAAGGCAAGTGGAAAAGGAGTCTGTTCTCCATGCAGGCATCGGATCTGCTCAGGAAGATGTGCACAAGGAACCTGGTGCGGAACTACTGCCGTGGGATCACAGCCGAGAGGAAAGTGCTGGTAGGGACGTGGTGGGCAGGTGGGTGGCAGAATAGTGAAGGGTGGGTGCTGGCCCGAGAAACTACTAGTCAACAGTCCTTACCATTTCACCTGTAAGCCAAGGGTCACACCAGGCCCATGCCTTGTGCATGTGTTGAGGATTAAATCCATGTAGCCAGTAGCATGGAGCCCTCGTTAAATGGCATCTGTTTTAAGTAGCATCGCTCACACTGTCACCTCTGGTATGGAATCCACGTGGCCCCCTCATTAGAGAATGCCTGACCCCTTCTCTGCCGGAGGTCTGGGTTATGCTTTTCTGCAGGGCAGCTTTTTCTGGAAAGGGCCAGAGAATAGTATTTGAGGCTTTGTGGGCCACAGAATCTCTGTTACAATTATTCAGCTCTGCTGATGTAGCCCCAAAGCTGCTAGAGACAATGTGAATGAATGGCATTCATTTCCATGAATGGTAAAAACTTTACTAACAAAATCAGGTGGCAGACTGGATTTGGTCCGCAGTCCGCAGTCTGCCAGTCTCTGACCTAAAGGAAAGAAACCGCTCTCTGAAACTACGAGAATTCCACTTCAAGGAAGCCAGTGCAAGAGACAAGCCAGTGCAGTCCCTACTGGTATGTTTTAGGGAACTTTGGCCAAAGCCAGGAATGTGTTCCGACTTCTGTACGGCAGTGTGACGAGGCTCCCACAGCTTCTCCAGGAAAGCAAGCACCGCCATGGACCTAAGGGTCCTCCGTCCCAAGGAGCCTCGTGGCTACCATTTCTGTATTTTTGATTATCTGTTACCAGATGCAGCAAAAGATGGTTACAAGTGAAATATTCAGGGGGAAGAAGGAAGGCTACGCAGAAAGTTTAAGTCAACCCTTTGCCAACACTCGGATAGGTAAGTACACTTTTTCATCTGTGTACTCATTTTTCCTATTTTAAGACAAGTCAAAGAAGATGCTGGACTCCGTAGCATTTCCTCACCCTTTCCCCAGTTGTGCCCTTGGTCGCAGACGGCCGTGATATCATGGGCTCTCTCACGCACAGGAGTAGTGATTAGTGATGGTCTGCTGTGTTCTGGTTCCCTCCCTAGATGAAGGAGACATTCACCCCAAAGTGTTTCAAATCGTCAGCAAAGAGAACATCCAGGTAAGAAGACGAGTGTCCTCACCTCGAATGGGATTCCCTTACGGAGTCTGCAAACAGGGTCTGTTTTCCACGGGAAAAGTGTCTGGAAGCTGTTTCAATGCTGAGGTGCCTGTGGGTGGGCTGGGCTCTCAACTGCCACGTTCTGCGTATCACTGAGGCTGCAGGGACTACATGAGTGTTAGATGCCTGTCGTCGTTTCAGTCCCCATCTGTCACTCTGGAACTGTGTTTGGCTTTCTATGAAACTGAGTGGATTTCAGCCATGAACTTAGTCATGAAACATGCCCTATGGGAAGGTGGCAGGGTGCCAGTGTGGGCCTTGTAACTTAGTAGCTGCACAGTCCTGGGCAGGTTCCTTAAGCTTTCTCGGCCTCTGTCCTTCTGTGAATAGGGATGACAGGGTGACTGAGGGGCTGAAGGGGTTGATGGGGTGAGTGCACAGGATGCCACCTGGCATGCAGCAGCTGATGAGTGTGGCTCCAGGGGCTGCTACCACTTTGGGTTCCCAGAACAAACCTGTGCTGGACCGGACTGCCTTCTGGCTGTGAGGCCTTCGGTGCCTGCAGAGCGTTTTCGTCTCTGTTGACCTCTCAAAGCAGCCCTGTGAGGCAGGTGGCCATGGCCTTGAATTCTGTGGAAGAGCAATGCCATGGGCAGAACTGGGACTCAAAATCTACCCTGCAGAGAGTTAGGGTGCAGGAAAAAACCTATGTAAAATCTGTTCGTCCCTCTCTGAGTGTTTTAAGCAACTTTACCAGAGTCTGAGTGACAAGGAACTTGGCCATGTGCTCCCATCCCCCCATGAAGTAACCTCCCTGAGTAGTGATGGTGACCTCCTTGCAGTATGGCATTCCGGTCATTAAATACGACAGGAAAGGCTTCAAGGTGCGACAGCGGCAGCTCATTCTGACTCAGAGAGCAGCTTATGTGGTGGAACTTACCAAAATCAAACAGAAAATAGAGTATTCCACACTCAAAGGTAAGAAGCAGGCTATCACGGGGCCTTCGATTCACTGGGTGGTCTTAGCTTCTGGGCACACCGGTAATGAAGGGGCCCTCAGCTGGAAGACCTAAGTGCCAGTGCCCATAAAGCCTGGGGCTGCCTGGGCCCAGCCTGGGCCTCTTGGTCTGGCATCAATATCCGTGGTGCCTCCTTCACTCAGCCACCCAGGTTGGACAGTAGTCGTCTTCCATGGCCTGTTTTTTCATTCGGAGCCCAGACCTTTACAGCCCCGTGGCAGGCAGCATGCGGACTGCTGGACCCCTTTGTCCTGCTGGGCCCGGCTGGGAGGGAAAGTGCGTGGGGTCAGGGGGCCCAGAGGAGTGCTTCTTTTTCCTGTATTAATGTCAAGCTGTTCAATTCCTGGCCCCTAACTTTGGACCTGTCTTAAGGTGTCTCTACGAGCAACCTTAGTGACAGAATCTTCGTCATTCATGTCTCGCCAGAGGGCAACAAGCAAAAGGTAAGGGAAGGCCACCAGTCCCACAGAAACACTGCCACATCACTTCACTGCCCACCGTGAAACCTCGGTGCTGGAGAGTATTTTTCCTTTAACCTGCCACTACTGACCCCACTGTGTCCTCTCTCCACCTCAGGGGGACGCTGTCTTACAGTGTGAGCACGTATTTGAAGCGGTTACTAAACTAGTCATGCTGGCTAATAAGGAGAACGTTGTAAATGTCGTTCAGGGAAGGTAGGTGGTTTCAGCTTTAGCTCAGGAAGTCATTCAAGTTAATATGTTAAGTCAAACAAGTTGATATGTTTATTAATGGATCGGGGAAGGAGCAAATGTTGACAGTTTCCCCCCTGCCTGCCAGTAAGGGCTGCGGAAGGGAAGTTGCCAGTGACAAGTCAGTGATCCCACCCTCGCCTACGGAAACAGGGGACTTACCATCCAGTTTTTCAAAGGAGGTGCTTTTGTCCCAGAGGGAAGCTGTCACCAAGTGAAAGAGAGACCTCTGGGCCAGAGCAGATGACACACTTTTGCTGTCAATGCCTGTTTTTGGGGACAGGTGGTTGAGCACAGTGGGCCTCAGCTTTGCAGGCTGCTTACAGATTGATTTAGGAAAAGGGCTATAATTTCTTTTAGACATAAATGAAAAATACCCAGCACAAAAGTATTCTTACTCAATTCTCTCAACAACTCAGCAGGTGCCACCTTTCCCATTTCCTGGGCACCAGGTGGTTCAGCAACCTGCCCAATGTCACACAGCCAGTCAGGGACAGTGAATGGATTCCTAAGGCCATGCTTGGTTCTCATTCTCAGACTGAAGCAGGCACAGAGCCCCTGTGAAAGCAGACTGCTTCTATTCAGTCTCCAGTCTTTATAACCCAATGAGGAAATTCCTCTGTGGACAGGGAGAGGGAGGGGGTGCTTTGGAGAGGGAGGGGGTGCTTTGGAGAGTGGTGTTTCTGTCGGGCTGTACGTCTGAGGGAAGACCCAGCCCACTGTGAGTTCCAACCTGAAGAGATAGAGGTAGTTCTGCAGACATCACATTGGCCGATTCAATGTGCCACTTCCTGGTTGTGGACATGACTGTCCTTTCGTTACTTAGATATGCGGTTAAACTCTGCAGTAAACAGGAATTCAATCTTGAAACTAGTAAAGCTTCATAAGTGAATTTCTTTTGCAGACCAATGGCTGAAGGAGAAAAACAAAGTGATTCATCATTTTGTGCATTTTAAGTTTACAGTTTTATATTAGTCCTGGAAAAGAAGGCACAATCGTTTTCGACACCGGGCCAGAAGAACAAATCTATAAAAATAAAAATGGACAGCTAACAGTGGTGAGTGGCTGCGTGGGGGAGGGAGGTAATCAATTTTAAATGAGAAACTAGATGAAAATTCTACCATTTTGTCACTCCTCTTACATACTGACTAGAATCAAAATATAGTTCATGTCTTCCTCTATTCCTTACTCAACATCCGAAAAACAAAAATAGATTGATACTAGAGAGATTCAAACCCTGGAAGAAAAGGGAGAGAAGAGGTTTACCATGTTTAGTTGTCCAAGAACTGGAAGTTGACACTAATTCCTTCTCAGTTTTAAATGTCAAAACCCACATTTTCACTAGATGGTGAAGCTTATGCCTCATCACTGTGGTTCTCTAGGTCTCCACACTAGGATCTCCTGGCGAGCTTCAAAACCTATCAGGGCTCGAGTCTCACCCCCAGACACTGATGTAACAGGCTGGGGTGTGTGCGGCCTGGTGTTTGGAAAGGAAGCGATCCCAGGTCTAAGGAGCAGAGGCCTGGGAGCCACTGTCTTAGGAAGTCAAAGCGGGGGCTTGGTGCTCTGCCCTCCCTGGTAGTCCTCATGGGCAAGGAGTTCACAGAACTTATTTTGATCCAGTTTTGCTGGGAACTGATACAGTAAAAGCTGAATGGGTTGAGTCTTCATGCACACATTTAAATTTATATACATTTAACTATAAAATTGTTTCATGGGTGTTATCTGTATACAAGTCTTTTAAAACAAAACTTCCCCTAAGCACAATGCAAGGTGATTTTTCTGTTTACCTGCTGTCCTAGAACTTGCGCCCTGAGGATCAGGTCTGTCTTCAGAAGTCACACTGTCTGGTCAGCTCAGCCGAATGTGCCAACAGGCCTCGTGGGGCCATTTCTAAGTGTGGCTTGCCTCGTGGTGGGGCTGGGGAGCGGCAGGGGGGGTGCGGGTGGTGGCGGGGCTGGCTTCTCGGAGGCAGGTCCACATCCAGTTTGATGATGCCGACGGTTGGGTAATAACCGCTCTCGTCCACAAGGCAAACGCCAAGGGTCTCTAAACCTCAACGTGGCCTCTCTCCCAAGGTGTCCGTCCGCATGAAGTCCTCTGACCTCTCTCATCACCATTTTTGCTCCGACTGAGGAAAGTACCCAGGAGGTGGGAATTTGATCCAGTTAAGCTCCGTATCCAAGGGAAGATCACAGCAGCTCGGAAAGCATCACATCTAAGAAAAGTGAGTGGCCATCTTATACCAAAGCCTGGCTCCAGCTTCTCAGCTGCCCTGTGGCACCAAATTAAAATGTCCTCTTCAGAGAGCCGACCTCAAGTCACCTAAAGGGGTGTGGTTTAAAGGGTCCCAAATAGGACCTACACTTAGCAGGTATTTGAACATGTCATTACAGGGTGGGAAACAGATTCTGGGCTTTTATCAAGCTGTCCCTGAGGCATGTTTATGTATTTATATATGGTCTGAGAGTAAGTGAATTTCATAAAGCTGTAAAATTTGAACTTAGGTTTCAAGTTCCATTCATTTAAAGCAACCTGATAGACTCTTTAGGTTCCAGATGGTAAGCCTGGAACCTACCTCTTCCCACCCGACCTCCCCAGTATTAAGGTAGTGGCAACACCAGCTGATTCATTCTGCTTTTCCACAAGCCTGGCAGCGCTTCTACCCAAGACATCCTTTCAGGGTTTAAATTCAAACACTACAGAAAAATGACTCATCTTTTCCACCCTCGGTACCTTTAAGGAGATAAAGTAGAATGTAGAACCTCTGCCTTACTCCCTCTGCTATAAATTACACTTCTGTTCAATGCCTTGATTGTGCTGGGTGTTTCTGAAAAGACCCAGAAAACAGATTTGAATGAAGCATTATGATTTTTATTTTACATATGTCCACCAATGCTTGTACAACATACAGTGGCTACTTCTAAAGCATACAGCATTTTTTTCATAGCACATAGAGACAGAAAGGTTAGTGACACACAGATGTGCCCCAGGACGTGGGTGGAGCCCTAAAGAGCACACATTTGGGTCCTGAATGGCTGCTCTGAGGGACAGGTGGGGTCCCCGCACTGTGACCAATGTGCTCAGCCACCGCAGGGGGCGATGGAAGAGGCGCCTGGGCTGTCTCAGGCCCAGGTCCCCAGTCACCACAAACAAACCAGGACTTCTTTGGAAAAAAAAGAAACAAAACAAAACTTGATTACAAAAGACCAAAGGCTGGTCTATTTTTTTAATTGTAAACTATTACATGCAATGAAATGTTAGTCTTCACCAAATCTCAGGCCAGCGTTTTACTTGGATGGCTAAATGTAAAACCTTTGTTTGCCTTCAGTGCTAGCATAAGAAAATCAGCTCCTTGCAGGTATTTGCTAACAGAGCTTGGACCGGCCAACAGTTGGTCAGCTCATGGCCGAGCGGCTCACAGTATCATTCACCAGGGACTGTTTTATGAACCTGTTCCTATCCCAGGGAAGCAAAGACTCAAAACTACAAGTGCAAAGTTGGAGGAAAAATGAAAGTAGACTGCCAGAAACATTAGGTCATAAGGTGGAGAAGTCCAAACAAAACAGACCATTCCGTAAACTTGTCATATAAACATTTAAAAAAGCAATTTATATGATGGCTTTTCCATTCCAACAGAAAACATCAGAACTGACATTCACTTAACCTTCTAAAAAAGTTCAACCCAAATGGCAGGGTTGGGGTTTCAAACTTAAATAGTATAAAATATTTTTTACAAAAAGTTTTTTTAGTCCCCCTATCCTTAGCAACAAAATCTGAATGGCCTACTATGAAGTTTCCCAAACAACAGTTTAAAAATCATCTACTTGATACATGTTTAGGTTCAGTCATGATTGTTTGAAAGTTTTATTGAAGGCTTTGCTGCTGGATACAAAATAAAGGCATACAACTGTCCCAAGTAGGGCACACAGTACACACAAAGTCTAAGCTGTAAAAACCATTTCAAAATATAAACTCGTTTTTTGGAATACATGTGTCAAAGGCTGCCCAAGTTAATACCTTTGGTATAAAACAGTAAAGTTTCCCTTGAAAAGCAGACAAAACCCACCCACCACCTTACACACATTCACACCTCCTTATAACTAGACCTAGTCTAGTCTCAACCACTCACATTGTCACAAGTCACTTCTGTCCCTTCACAGGTGCACAGGAGACTGGGAGGTAGGTAACTGAGAACATCTGTCCTCCATGAGCGCCGTGCAGACCGCCGGGCTCCAGCACCTGTGCCCCACAAATGCACATCCCTGTCACCAGCTGCACACATCCCTTAAACAAACATGAACACGGACACTAAACAGACCCCAAAGGATCTGCACACATGCACATACTCTGCTCACTTGGGGGCCCCTCCGCACTGTGTAAAAATCAGGTAAAGCCAGGAAGAGGCGCTCCAGGTGATGGCTGCATTTACAGCAGGCAAGCTACCCTGAGACTGCTGGTGGGAGTAGCGTTCCTGCCTGGATGCCAGGCTGGGAGTCTGGGCCACATTTCATATCCAGACAAAAGGCAGGGCATCCACTTGGGCAGTAAGCCCAGCTTACCAGGAAAGAAGGCCAGGGAGAAAGGACTGGATCGCACAGAGCAGTGGTTTGTGAGCTCTGCCCGTGACGAGGCCAGAAGGCCTTGCCGGGGGCAGAGTGGGACGACGAGGAGGGCAACTGGAGGGGCAGGGAAGGAGCCAGGAACACAGCTGAGGACTCGCTGCCAGAGACAGCTCTGCCCTTAGCCAGTCAGGTGGGGTCCCAACAAGCCCGACCACAGATCAGAAAGGCAGCAACAGGCCTTCCCCTTAAACAGAGCCAGGCATCCAGAGCTAGAGCTACACTAGGAACAACGATTTAGAGGCACGAAGCTCAAGCAACAATTATTTACCAATGAGCTGTAGGCACACGAAAGCCTGTTATGGAACAGACTTCTGGCAAAGCTGTGGAGACTGTGCCTGGTCTAGTGTCCAGGGCCTGGGAGCCAGTGAGCTGGGCTGAAGGGCTATGAGACAGGAAGCTTACAGACGCCTCTGGTGGCCGCCAGCCCTCTCAGAGCTGTCACACTGAGCCCTGAAGGGAATGCCACCCAAGAAGAACAAACAGGTAGTCAACACCCACAAAAATAAATACTGCAAACAGAAGTTCTCATGTACACTTCATACCATTCATACTTTTCTGCGAAGAACGAAGACAGCCTGGCTTCAGGGATTCTCAGATTCTCATGAAAAGCAGAGACCCCGACACAGCTCGCAGGTGCAGTTACCCGGGTAAAGACAGTCACCTTGTCAAGAAATATCAAAATAACCATCTGGCTTGTTACAAAAGTATCTCCAGACTCCAGGGCAAGTGGAAGGTGCCCGGGAGCCTGCAGAGGATCTGAGTGAACAGCGGGGCGGAGGAGGAGGGAGGACGGAGAGCGGCTCGGTGCTTGTCTGCTCACTGGTGCAGGTGGGCCCGGTCGTCCGGGCGCTTGATGTGGATCCGTCGCACACGCTCGATCCGTTCCCGCTCCCGCTCCTCGTCTTCGTCCAGGTGGTGGGAGCGCCCCGCGGCCCCACCAGTGGCCTCCAGGAGCGCATTGTCAGGTCCCCGGCCATCCTGGGCCTCATACAGCAAAATATTCAGGGTCTCCTCATAAATCCGGGCTTCAGGGAACTCCACCTGCATCCCCACGAAATACGGGGCAGGTAAGTAGCATTATACACACACCCCACCAGGTCTGCCGCCACCCAGAACAACACGAGCAGGGCTGTCGGCTCAGTGAGGCTCCTGGGACTCCATCTCAGACTGTCACCAGCATTTTTAAAGTAGTCATTACTGTCAGTAAGGGACACTTACATGTGGTGCTAAATTCACAAGATACAAACGGGAAGCAATGTAACAGGTCTCCCTGCACCACTCCGTTTCCCTTCTCAAAGACAATGCTTATCATTTACCCCTCTCCAAGGGGTCCCTTGAATATAAAGACATGTGCGTTCACACACTTTAAAACATACAAAAGGTGGCTCACCAGACTCTTGTTCTTTTCCCCAACTGAACTTGGAGACTGTTCCACATCAAGGAATCACAAAGAATGTGACAGTGCAGTGACCCAGCTCATGCTGAGGAAAACTGAGGTCACTTCCGGTGTGGTGCTGCTAAGCAACAGAGCTGAGCCCGTGTGCACAGCCATTCGACACCTTAAAGCAGCGTCCTTTTTGAACAGGGACCAGCTGGGGACCCTCGTGAAATGGACGCGACCCCTCCTCCTGCTGGTAAAGCACTGTGTTTGCTTGTTGCCCTTGGGCTCTAGGGGCTGTGAACAAGGAGGCGCCGCACAGGTGGGTCCCAGGCACGTGACTCACAGAGCAGAGGCTGTGCTTTCAAGGACAGGAGCCTGCTTTTCCGGTTCTGGGGGAAGAGGACTGAGCACACTTGCCCCTGCTTTTCCCATTGAGGCTATGAAGCCAGGATTGTTCACAGCAGTCACCTGAGGACTGAGACGTAAATAGTGGCAGATGGAGTGTGGGGAAAGATCAGAGTTTGAAGTAATGCCTAACCAGGAGTGAATTTAGTCTTTTTCCCGTGCCAGTGTGCCCCAGCCTGGCTCAACGTGGCCTGTGACCCTGGAACAGGCTCCAGGAGATCATCCCTGGCGGCCAGAGGAGCCTCCCAACATCTAGACAGCTGGTGGAGGCGGGCAGTTCCCTGTATGTCTTTTTCTCTTTTCTCCATTTTCTTCCACTCCAGCCCTCAAGCAACCTCATGGTGGCAGCAGCTGTGGCCGCAATTGGAGCCTGCGGGAGTCAAGACTCTGGAGGGAACCTTTCTTTCTGATAGAAGAAACATGGTTGCCACAGGATGGGGGATCCCTGCCATTACTTCTCTCCATCTTCATGACACTTGGCTGCAGATACAGTCAAAGCCACAGCGCAGGGTAACTACAGCCCCATGACTGGCTTTCTGACCCAATGACTGAAAAAGAAGTGCCCTAGGGAAGGGGAAATGAGAAGGAGATTGTGAGGGGGAAGCTCAGGAAAACGGCTTCTGGAGGCTATGCATGAACTCCTGGGCTCACTCCCCGCAGGTGACCTGACTCTCAGCAGCACATTTAGACATTAAGAACTGAGCCACAGGACACAGACTGTTGTCCCCAGTGTGGCACACAGGTAGCGCAGATATGAGGGCTCTGAAAACTGTCATTGGAACAGCAAGCTAGTTCGAACTTGTGTCCTGAACCCAACTGGGTCAATGGCCTGCTAAAACAAAAATATCAATGTTCTTCTTAGGATTTCAACATGACAGAGTCTCACAACATCCAAAATGCCCAGGATACAACTCAAAATTTCTTGACATATAAAGAACTAGAAAAATCTTAGCTCTTGAGGCAAAAGATAATTAATAGATGTCAAAGCCAAGATGACACAAGATGCTGGGATTATCTGACAAAGACCTGAAAGCTGCTATTATAAAAATGTTTAAGTAAGGGCAAACACTCTTAAAGCAAATGCAAACATAGGAAGTCTCAGCAAGAACGCAAAGAAAATCCAAATGGAAATTTTAGAACCGGAAAATACAATAACCAAAACAAACACAAAAGCAGAAAACTAACTCACTGGAAGGGCTCAATACTAGAACAGAGATGACACAGCAAAGAGTCAGTGAACTTGAAGACAGACAGATCCATGTGATATGGTCCGAATGGGAGAACAAAGAAAGACCGCTGAAGGCAGGATTCTGTGCTTAACTACCATCAGGTCCTAAGTAACTAAGAACTAAGAGCCGAAATGGACAATGTGTTGTTAAACATCTGCTTAAGCCACACACTTTCCATCTTAACCACCAAAGAGTGCAATGATGAGTAAAACAATTAGAAAGCACTTGGAATGCTGTACAATGGAAGATGAGATACCAACTATGTAAACCCAAATGGACCATCTGTACGGTTACTTGACACAACAGAACATGAGTGTCGGCTCCAAAGCACAGCTCCCAGAGGTCTGTGCTCAAGGAACCTGTCCCCGTAGGGGCAGCCATCCCCAACACCGACTCTCTGGAAAGCCAAAGTCACACACTCCTCTTGGAGAAGAAAGCAGCCCTTCAGGCCAGGATGGCAGAGCAGAAGAGGCAGAAAGAGGGGTCCTGGCCCTACCGCTAGCCAGCTCACAAACACAAGCACAGGCGGGTTCCAGATCCTGTCCACTAATCTACAACACTTGGGACCAGATCATGTGATCTCTAAATCCTTCGTTCCTTGTCAAGCTCTAAAAATGTAAAATCAATAAAGCTTAATCAATATGATTATCCCTTAATATGCAAGGACAGAGGCAACTCATGTATGTGAAAAAAACAAACTGTGACAAAATGGGATAAAAGTGGAATTCACAGCCCAAAAAGTTCACGGGAGAAAAAGAGGCCTGTGCCTTGCTAATGAGGAGCCTACAACTCTGGTTCCCCTGCTAACTCGAAAAAACAAACACACACACACCTCGGTGTTTTAAAACTGAGGTCACTTCCGGTGTGGTGCTGCTAAGCAACAGAGCTGAGCCCGTGTGCACAGCCATTCGACACCTTAAAGCAGCGTCCTTTTTGAACAGGGACCAGCTGGGGACCCTCGTGAAATGGACGCGACCCCTCCTCCTGCTGGTAAAGCACTGTGTTTGCTTGTTGCCCTTGGGCTCTAGGGGCTGTGAACAAGGAGGCGCCGCACAGGTGGGTCCCAGGCACGTGACTCACAGAGCAGAGGCTGTGCTTTCAAGGACAGGAGCCTGCTTTTCCGGTTCTGGGGGAAGAGGACTGAGCACACTTGCCCCTGCTTTTCCCATTGAGGCTATGAAGCCAGGATTGTTCACAGCAGTCACCTGAGGACTGAGACGTAAATAGTGGCAGATGGAGTGTGGGGAAAGACCAGAGTTTGAAGTAATGCCTAACCAGGAGTGAATTTAGTCTTTTTCCCGTGCCAGTGTGCCCCAGCCTGGCTCAACGCGGCCTGTGACCCTGGAACAGGCTCCAGGAGACAGCAAGCTCCAGGAGATCATCCCTGGCGGCCAGAGGAGCCTCCCAACATCTAGACAGCTGGTGGAGGCGGGCAGTTCCCTGTATGTCTTTTTCTCTTTTCTCCATTTTCTTCCACTCCAGCCCTCAAGCAACCTCATGGTGGCAGCAGCTGTGGCCGCAATTGGAGCCTGCGGGAGTCAAGACTCTGGAGGGAACCTTTCTTTCTGATAGAAGAAACATGGTTGCCACAGGATGGGGGATCCCTGCCATTACTTCTCTCCATCTTCATGACACTTGGCTGCAGATACAGTCAAAGCCACAGCGCAGGGTAACTACAGCCCCATGACTGGCTTTCTGACCCAATGACTGAAAAAGAAGTGCCCTAGGGAAGGGGAAATGAGAAGGAGATTGTGAGGGGGAAGCTCAGGAAAACGGCTTCTGGAGGCTATGCATGAACTCCTGGGCTCACTCCCCGCAGGTGACCTGACTCTCAGCAGCACATTTAGACATTAAGAACTGAGCCACAGGACACAGACTGTTGTCCCCAGTGTGGCACACAGGTAGCGCAGATATGAGGGCTCTGAAAACTGTCATTGGAACAGCAAGCTAGTTCGAACTTGTGTCCTGAACCCAACTGGGTCAATGGCCTGCTAAAACAAAAATATCAATGTTCTTCTTAGGATTTCAACATGACAGAGTCTCACAACATCCAAAATGCCCAGGATACAACTCAAAATTTCTTGACATATAAAGAACTAGAAAAATCTTAGCTCTTGAGGCAAAAGATAATTAATAGATGTCAAAGCCAAGATGACACAAGATGCTGGGATTATCTGACAAAGACCTGAAAGCTGCTATTATAAAAATGTTTAAGTAAGGGCAAACACTCTTAAAGCAAATGCAAACATAGGAAGTCTCAGCAAGAACGCAAAGAAAATCCAAATGGAAATTTTAGAACCGGAAAATACAATAACCAAAACAAACACAAAAGCAGAAAACTAACTCACTGGAAGGGCTCAATACTAGAACAGAGATGACACAGCAAAGAGTCAGTGAACTTGAAGACAGACAGATCCATGTGATATGGTCCGAATGGGAGAACAAAGAAAGACCGCTGAAGGCAGGATTCTGTGCTTAACTACCATCAGGTCCTAAGTAACTAAGAACTAAGAGCCGAAATGGACAATGTGTTGTTAAACATCTGCTTAAGCCACACACTTTCCATCTTAACCACCAAAGAGTGCAATGATGAGTAAAACAATTAGAAAGCACTTGGAATGCTGTACAATGGAAGATGAGATACCAACTATGTAAACCCAAATGGACCATCTGTACGGTTACTTGACACAACAGAACATGAGTGTCGGCTCCAAAGCACAGCTCCCAGAGGTCTGTGCTCAAGGAACCTGTCCCCGTAGGGGCAGCCATCCCCAACACCGACTCTCTGGAAAGCCAAAGTCACACACTCCTCTTGGAGAAGAAAGCAGCCCTTCAGGCCAGGATGGCAGAGCAGAAGAGGCAGAAAGAGGGGTCCTGGCCCTACCGCTAGCCAGCTCACAAACACAAGCCCAGGCGGGTTCCAGATCCTGTCCACTAATCTACAACACTTGGGACCAGATCATGTGATCTCTAAATCCTTCGTTCCTTGTCAAGCTCTAAAAATATAAAATCAATAAAGCTTAATCAATATGATTATCCCTTAATATGCAAGGACAGAGGCAACTCATGTATGTGAAAAAAACAAACTGTGACAAAATGGGATAAAAGTGGAATTCACAGCCCAAAAAGTTCACGGGAGAAAAAGAGGCCTGTGCCTTGCTAATGAGGAGCCTACAACTCTGGTTCCCCTGCTAACTCGAAAAAACAAACACACACACACCTCGGTGTTTCTCTCTTCTTGGCTACCTTAAAACAGCATCATTTAGGATGTATTCTAAATACTATTGAATAAAATGTTTAAGAAGTAAAAAAAAAAAAATTTAAATACTGGTTTCTACTTTGTGGTCTGATTTTCTCTCATGTGCCTTTTGCTTCCGAGGCCAGCTCGAGAAGTGCACAGAAATATGTGCTGTTGCAGCCACAGTAACAACCTCAGTTGGTGATCTACTGACTTGTACATGGTAATCTAGAGGCCTGAAAATGTACCCGTGGCAGACCTACAGCAAGTCCCTTGTAATCAGAGTTCCCTTAGGTAGGCTGAGAAGAAAATGGCAGAGTGTACTGTATGATTTTTAAAAAAAAGAAGAGAAAACCAAGTTGCATAGGCCAAGGAGGGCAAACAAACAGAGGGCCTAACGGGAAGGCCGGTTAACAGCGGACCACATCTCTGAAACAGCACTTTGCAGCATCTTCCAGCTTTGCAGAGCAGAACAGAGACAGAAGGCAAGGGAGAGGTCAAATCTACTGGTCTGGAGAGGACGACAGAAAAATGGACCCATCAGGGAGTCCAGTGCTCAGACGGAAGCCACCAAGGCTGGGAGCTAAGGAATGCCGAGGGGTCCCTGGGAGGGTGGAAGGCTGCTCCAGGTTGAGGGTCAGAGGACAGACAGATGGAAGTTAAGTAGTAGGTCACGACTAGAAAGCCAAGGTCTAGGCCATGAAAGGTAGCACTGCTGCTCTGATGGGCGAGACAGGATGGGGCTATGCCGGTGGGAGGCAGTGCGGTGTGGTGGGCAAGGAACGGCACGGGCGGTGTCAGATCGCCGCGGAGAGAACATGCTGGCAGCCGGATGGCACACAACTCTAAGGATACAACTGAATCTACATTTATGGCAAAGGAACTTCAGTGTGGTATGACTGCCGACGTGCTCAGTGTCAGAAAGGAAATGCCATTCTGTTTCTCCGAGACCTACATTTGGTCCAAAAGATAATGAATACTTTCGCAATGAGCAATCACGAATCAAGGAAAGCATTTCTAAAGCCTTTCCCTCTTTTAAGTTTATTTTGCCCACAGGGAAAGGGAAGTCGTACAAGTACATATTTCAGACCGGCCCCCCGCCCCCCGAACCATCCCCGCCCAGCCCTTACCTTGGTCTGTTTCTTCTCAGTGGCATAGACGATGGAAGTACAACAGACTTCGGCAATCTTGCGGCCCTGACCGTAAAAGGACCAGCAGCAGATTTCATCTCCAATGACATCCTTTATGAATAGGACCCTTCCGTTAAAGCGCAGAGAGAGCTTATCAAAGAGTTCAATGTTTTTCAACATATTGTCGTCGGAATTGCTGTAAAAGAGCATTTGATAAGGTGACCACAGGCTGGTAGTAACTGCCACAGCTGCTTGTTTCCGTGCGCTGGCCGTTACCTCCACTGGCCCATTTCAACCTCAAGACAATCCCACTAGAAAGGCACAACAGCCCCCACTGCTCAGAGAAGGAAAGGGGGTGTCAGAGAAATAAGGTACTTGCCCGAGGCCAAAAACTAATAAATGGCAGAGCTGGGCCTCAAAAGAGACAGCTTCCCACCCCTCAGCCTGTGCTCTGAGCCAGCAGACTACAGCGGCTGCTCTGCTCTGCAGAGCTGAGCCACAGGACCGGTAGCAGAACGCGTCTGCCCAAGGGAGACTTGGCATCCTGGGTCAGTTCATGGGTCTTGAGGAACTGCGTTCAGTCCCCCCATATCCCTCAGGCTCTTGATGAAGAGCCAAACGTTCCCAAGAGCCACAAGGCGTTCTAGAAACCTGCATGTGTTGCTGATGGAAATACAAAACGGCGTAGCCACTTTGGCAAGCAGTATGGCAGGACCCCAAATGACTAAGCCTAGAGTTAGCACATGACCCCACAATGTCACTCCTAGGTATGTATCTGAGAAATGAAAACGTATTTTCACACAGAAAGTGTACATGAATGTTCATAGCAGTATTCATAATGGTCGAAAGGTGGCAACAACCCTTAACTGTCCATCAGCAGATGAATGGATAAGCAAAATATGGTATATACTCTCAGAGTGGAATATCATTCAAGAAATGAAGTACTGATAGATGCTACAACATGGACGAAACCTGACAGCAGTAAGCTAAGTGAAAGCCAGTCACAAAAGGCCACCTATTGTAATGTTCCACTTACATGAAGTGTCTAAAACAGGCAAACCCATCGAACCAGAAAGCGGAGTAGCATTTGCCTGGGGTTAGGGGTTGGGGGTGGAGTTAGAGGGAAACGGGGAATAACTGCTATGGGCACAAGGTTTCTTTCTGGGGTGATGAAGATGTTCAAAAATCAGGTAGGTGGTGATGGCTGCATAACTCTGTAAATATACTAAAAATTGAATTGTCTGTACAATTGACCCTTGACAACATGGGTTCAAACTTCACGGGCCCCTTATATGCTTATTTTTTTCAACAAATAAACTAGAAAAGTTTTTTGGAGATTTGTGACACTTTGAAAAAACACTGTCTTTTCTCCAGCTCACTATATTGTAAGGACAGTATATAACATATGTAACATCCAAATTACGTGTTAATTGACTATTTATGTTAGAGCTTCTGGTCAACAGTAGGCTATTAGTAGTTAAGTTTTGGGAGAAGTTATACATGGATTTTCAACTGCACAGCACGTTGGCACCTCCAACCCGTGTTGTTCAAGAGTCAACTGTTCCTTAAGGAGGAAAATTTTACAGTATGTGTGAATTAGATCTTCCATCTATCATCTATCTACCTTTCCTTCTATCCACCTATCTGGGCATCCGAGAGGTGCCAACGGGCCACCCTCATCTGAGGGGAGCAAGAGGAACTGTGCCAGGCTACTGTGAGTGGAGGCTTTCCTAGTGGGCGGATGTGTCTTTTCTGGCCCCCGCCTTACCTGGTATATGAGTATTTGTTGTTACTTCTGTTGTAGAGCAATTTCACGGCTGGCTGCGGGCAGTTTTAAGAAGGGAAGAAGACAGTTAGCTGGGGAGCAGGTGCAGTGGACCACCGACTTCCCATAGGCTGGGCCCTGCCACCAAGTCCAAGAGGCAGCCGAGCACAACTTGCCGGCTGTGGTGGGGCTGGAGAGGGAGACTGTATGGCCCAGTTCCAGGGGGAACACAAGATGAGCTGAGGTTCCCATCCTCAACCTCTTCTTGGGCCTTGCTCAGGCAATCACACAGTTTCATTTCAAAACTTATTCAGAAGAACCTCCACCATTTCTGGTAGCAAAAGAGAAATACCATAAGGGTGCCTCTAACATACCTTATTTGAAGTAGCTATAAGTTTCTGTTCTTCCTTGGATGAGGTGATGACAGGAACTTTGCAGAAAGGCTCATAAGTATCTTTGTTCTGCTGGAACAAAACAGGCTTTCAGCCTAGGAGACCTTCCCAGCCCTGGATTATTTGAGCTGGCCTGCTGGGCAAAGACAGGCTCTGGCAAAGGAAGGTGGGGGCGTCACAGCTGGGAAGAGAGGAGGATTCTTACCTCCAGTGAATTAGGATGGGGGCTGACCAAGAGTCAAGTTTTCCGGTAACTCTGTTCTTTGGCAGGACTGTTACATGCTAGTGTAAATACTAACAACGATGACCCATTTCCACAGCCTAGGAAGCCACTCAAAACTAAACCTGAAACATGGCAGAGGAAATACAATTGCATCAAAACTCCTAAAAACCCACTGAAATGACTGCAAAGGGCTAAAACAGTATAAGCCCATAAAGAGAAGAAAAATGGGAGAAGTGAAGCCAGCAGATAGAAGATGTCAAAAATTTGAGGCAGGAAAGAAAGGGATAACTAAGGAGAAAGAGAAAGCTGGAACCTAAGTCAGCAGATGGGAAAGAACCCTGGAGATTTTCAAAGAACAGCCCTGAAGGCTGGTGGGCACAGGGCAAGGGCGGAGGAGTGCTTGCCAGTTGGCAGAAGCACCAGTGAGAACCCCAGAAGGATCCCCTACCCCAGCCTGGAAGAAGAAAGGTCCACTTGCTTGGAGTGATCTGTACAGTAGAAGACAGGGTTGCGTTGTGAAAACAAGGGTAAAGGGAATGGCCTGCACACTAAATGGTGAGGCTCCTCGCCTTTTCCCCAACTCAGATCTCAGGAGGCAGCCGGTTAGATCTATACCCACCAGGAAAGAGAGTGGTGGACTCCTCCCTGGGGACCTGACCTGTCCAAAGCAGGCTTACAGGTTCTGACACTGGAAGTTCCCACGGTAAAGGTCAGTCTTATCACCATGACTGAAGCCCACCAGACCACAAGGACTTCCCGTGCACACACATCTTTTCAGAGCCTTACTTTTAGGTTTCAACAGACAAAGGATCATCAAATTATAGGTGGAAAGCCTGTCAGAAGACATCAGTGAGACCAAAGCTCAAACAAGGAATCGGATGATGAAGGCAATAGAAAAAAAATTTCAACGAGTATCGTCAGATAGATGAGAGCAGATACTGCATCCTGTGAAACAAGATCAGCATACTGTGTAAAGAGCACCTGGGGAATAAGAAAAGGCTCTTGAAAATTAGATACATGATAGCAGAGATGAAAAATTCAATTGAACGGCTGAAAAGATAAAACTGAAAAACACCTCTGAGAAAGTAGAAGAGAAAGATAAAAGCAACAGAAACTCAGAAGATATCAGTCTTGGAGGTTTAACCTCAGACTAACAGAAGCCACAGAAAGAGAACCCAGAGGGCACGCCTCCAGGGCAGAGATCCACCGATGGGTCTGCACCCACCAACAACAGGAGACTGGTCTTCTGAAACTTCAGGGCTGAATTAGAGCAGAACGTATTTAGAAAACCAAGCAAACAAAACAATGAAACAATCACTAACTCTGGAGATTTTCTGGCAAACTGGAAATTTCCCCAAGAAAATAATCACTATATACTCTGTGGCTCAACTCTTAAGACTATTAAGACATTACAATGTAAATCTGAATCCTGATTTAACCAAAGCTGTGATAAGCTATATTGGGAGAATGGAAGAAGGAATATGTGTATGTAAGTTTGGTAGTGGTTGGGGGTAGGGCAGTGCATGAACTAAATCTTACTTTTCTATAGTAATGCCCATAGATAATGTTGACAACTGAAATGTCAATAAATAGCAGTATAACAAACATGAAAGTAAACAGAACTCCTGAAAAAAATTAAAAGAGGCTGTCAGTGGGATGGGTGCAAGGGCATAGAGTGGTGTTTTTGACTTCAGCCTTGCAATACTATGTGATTTCTTCAATAATGTGCATGCATTACTTTGATAAAACATAAAAATGGAATAAAAATACTAAAGTAAAGGCTACAATATGCAGTTAGATTTACAGTGAGTTCACAGACATGGTGTGGCGGTGGCGTGAACCAAGAGTTCCTCGAGGAGCTAGCCATTATGTGCGCTGCTCCAGCAGAGGCCAGACAGCCCTGCAGCTTGCAGGAGGCACAAACCAGAGCCTCAGGTATACAGACCCAATTCCCATGGCATCCGAAAGGGACTCTCCTGATTCTCTACAGTGTCAGAACTTCACTGGAAGTAGACAGCTGCTGGCTGCATCTTGAAGCTTTTTGGTTTTATAGGGATTTTGCTATCCCTAGACTTGAACCCAGTCGTCCTGCCCCAGGTCCAGCTGAGTAGTGAGGGGTGTGTATGTCTACATAGATCATACTAGGCTCTAAACAATGACTTGTGGGTGAGAATAAGTCCCAAGATGGATCCAGAAACCGAATCAAAGTTTATATCCTATGGCTCAGTACTGAAAGGTTTCAATATACATTATGAGATGACCATCAGGACTGAAATAAGCCAGCGAGTAGTTTAGTGGCCTAAGCACTATAGGGAGGCCTCTCAGGGATCACTCTGACCAAAGGGGAGAGGCTCCAGGGTTAATTCATTAACTCTCATAACATCTCAGAAATGTCGAAACCGCCCCCACTTTGCAGAGGGAGAAGGTGAGGAAGGCGGGTAGGTCTAGCGCCGCCCCACCCTGGCAGGAAGAAAGGGTGATGCCCACTTGTAGTGCTGCCTGGCATTCCTCCACCAGGCCCTGGACCAGGTAGTACTTGGCTTCTGCCAGCAGCTCCTCGATCTCCCGGCGGCTCTCAGGCAAGGGGACCGCCCCGTCACGAAGGTAGTTGAGTATCGTACCAAAGTGCTTCCCACAGCGGTCGATGAGGATCCAGCCTGCAGGGGAAGGAGGAGGAAGCGGCGGCTGGTTACCTGGGCGCTCCTCCTCTGGAAGGCAGTGAAGAGATCTGGTGTCTCTCAGCTCCCTCCACCCGCAGGGGACAGCAGGGCCCCCGAGAGGGCTGCGGGCTGATAGGCCTTACTGGCCGGAGACAACCACAACCTCAGCCTCATCGGACCTCAGGCTCTTCTGGACACGAGGGCCCCTGAGGCCTAAAAGCACAAGTCTAAAGTACCCTCAAAAACCCCTCAGACATGTACATCCCAAGAGGGCCCTAGTGCACCACAACTGGATAACATGGGTCCAAATGACCACACTGCAATGAAAAGGGAAAGGCTTATGGGGTAAAAATACCTACTCCCTCTTTCTACAACCATTTTTACAGACTCCCAAAGGACAAAGCCATTTCTAAGAAAGCAGAAGGCTCATTCCCATAGACCATGACCTCAGACTGCAACCTCTGGCTCCAAAAGGTGATGCCCAGACGCTCGCCAGCACCACCGT